CGGGGTTACAGCATGGGCTGCTGCTGTATCACAAAGGCAGGTAAAGTACAAGTCACAGTTTGATCTATTTAGTGTACATTAAAGTGAAGTGTTAGCCGCAGTATTGGTGTTCAGGTACATTTATAGAGGATGTTGTCTTTGCAATAAAATGTGGCAATTAGATGCAAAGTGTGGAAACGCTCCAGGATGCTGCTCGTCTGTGACAGCGGGCCAACAACCTTAATGATGTTCCTTTCGCTATTACAGTCTATACAGAAAGCCAATTTACATTCCCTCTGTGATGTGGCCCTCGGAAGTAAAGTGCTGGCTATGCTGGAAAGGTTACAAAATGAGTTGGCTAAGATAACTTCTAAGACAATTTAAAAACAATTTGTGTCAATAGGTCAAAATGTTAATAAAAGTGAGATATACAGAAACGCGTGTTATTTTTCATCTTCTGAATTGTAATTGCCATTTTACCAAGGTGAAACGTTCTATGCACACTTACGAATGTTTTTTATGTCAAGTTAAACTTATTTTTGATCTAGTAAAATTATTATTATATATAGGACCATATACCAGATGCTGAAATTGCTTCATATGATTGGATTTCTCTCATGTTGCCTCAAGATATATGGTTTGACAACTAACGTAACAGGCAAATGCATTTCAATGGAATTATTAAGCTTGAAGAGCTTGGAAAAAGTCAATTCTGAACATCAGAGATGCATCTCTCAATAGATACATCTTTGAGTTATTGCCACGCTATATGTTACCATACGCATTATCTTAATATGTATTAGCAAAATGTGCCAATGTTGAAATACGAAAAAATTGTGATAGTTTGACTCGCTGACTTTTGAGACTGCATCTTGACTGGTCTACAGGGGGAGGCCAATGGTTAGAAGTGTGACATCATTTAGGCAATTTCCCTCATCTTACAACATATTTCAGTTTGACAACTGTTTTTACAAATTTCTATACACCAATGTTGACATACAATTAAGTGTTATTAATAAGATTTAAAAAATCGTGTACAATACTACAAAGTCCCCTCAGCATTCTTGGAGTGAATGCTTTAAATGTAACGGTGGTTGGGGACATTAGATCCTCACCATGTGTTTATTTTAGTTGTTCCACTAATTACTTTCATTTTGGTTATGTGTCATTACGCACACCAGTTTTTAGTTGGTAGTTAGTAGGATTATTTAAGTTGTCTTGTTTGTTGCTTTGCTTTTCATTGTTTAATGTCACCTGTTTCTACTTGGTGAGGGTTTGTTGTTCTTGTTACGTCAGTAAGTCGCTTTATGCACAACACAGTCTAAGTTTTCAATTAGTGTTAGTTGTTTTTACTGGATAAATATACACAAACGTGATACAAGCTTTGCGCTTGGGTTGTCATCTCAATGTCATCTCATGATGATAATGCAATATCTTCTCAGAAACAAAGTATGAATAGACAGTTTTGATCTTGAGTCAACTTTGTAGATTTTTTTAATGTAAAAGATTTGTAAATTGTGTTCAACCTTATGATGATAGACTTGCTGAATTATTCAGGTGAGCATGACAACAACATTTATTGGCTCCCGGTTCCGTGTCCTTTAAATTAACATGTTCATGTTAATTGATTAAAATTAATGTATATAAAACTGAGGCATATTTTCTATTTTCTATCAAAGAAAATGTATCTTTGTTTTTCCCTCCCTCTCAATTTCGTGATGGCCAATGTCCATTGACAGGGCGTGGCCATAATCACAACTCCTGGACGGTTCTAGAGAGTCATTAGGACATATAGGTTCTACGCGCATCCTGTTAAGCAGTTCTGCTTGTAATCTAATCGCATGCTCAACCAACAACTTTCAGATGAAAGCTAAATGCTTGCCGGAAAGCGCATTCCCTGTCCATTTACCACAATTGAGCTTATCTACAACAAGCAGTCACTAGAGCATGACAAGGTAAGATAACCGTGTCTAACATCTCTACCACCTACCCTGAACGGTGCTGAGCCAATGGGCACCACCATCACGGAAATTCCTGGGTACCTTTGGAATGCGCTGCAATCACAGTTGTAACAGAACAAATTGATTTTGACCACCTGGGATGCTCTTAAATTGAATAAATGTCTCTGGAATTTATTTATATGTGGCCGTACAATGTGTCTGTACAAAGTGTTATATCCATTTGTCAAAATGTAATAGATTCAAATACTAATAATACTAATCTGTAGCACTAGTCTAATTGAATATGTGAATGTGTTTTTATTTATTGTATTTCTTAACTTTAACCAAGTATTATGATTGTTGCTACTGACATTATGGAATTGCACATACATATTGTTTTGTCTGCCAAAGGGCCACGGCCAGTTGAGATTCCTGCACATCACCCTCAAGGTCTTCCATTTAAATAGTTCATGTTACCAAGCACACACTGTATGTATGTGATGCATCACTGGTACGTCACACAGACACAAAACCATTGTGTGCACTTGCTCTTTGCCATGCCCAGTAAATGTTTTATAGTGTCATGTGAGGACTAAAACAAAAGAGGCATTTTTTAAAGCAACGAAACATTTTTAAACCACTTTCATGGCTTTTTTTTATTTTCAAGGCTGAGGACAGTAACTCAAAGGTTCAAATGGCTTCAATGACCTCAGAAGAGATTGTTAGTGATGGCCTGGAGAATGTCAATGGGGATCTGAATTATACCTTGAAGAATGGGGGTGTTTTATAGCTCTAGTATTGCTGCTTCTATTCTTTTATGATCGTAGATAGCTACCATCATTACCACTGGTTTGTGTCATTTTTTCGGAAGGTGCCATTGCGAGGATAACTTTCCATTTCCAAAAGACGTGAGGTGTGATAAACAAAGAAAATCGCTGCCCATCCAACGATACGCTTTGAACGTAGCCCGATTAGATTTTATAAAAGTAATTAAACCAACACTCCCAAGGACATGCACATTGTTCCACCAGCTGTAGTCAAGCAGTACGTGTATAAATGTGTCTTACCAGTTTTTGGATCAACGGAGAAATATGGCTGTCCTTGAAGAATACTGTATACAACTCTGGCGCTATTTCCATATGTGGGGTCGTCCGCATCCGTCGCAGTTACTTGATACACTGAAGTACCTGGGAAGAAGTAAAGTAACCAACATCAGCCATCAACAATGTTTTGGATTGATCTCTTTTCTGATGTATTATTAATTATGATAATAAAACATGACATTTTAAGCGCCTTTTCGGGATATCCAAGGACACACAACAATGAAATTCAAGCAAAAGACCGGGCTAAGCGGGTCGTGGCAAAAGCTAACCTGAACAAATCAGTCTTGAGACTGTTTTAAAAAGTGATGATTAAATCCAAGTTTCGTGTTGCTAAAAGGAGTGCGTTCCACAGGGCGGCAGCACTAAACTCCCCATTGTACACAGTCTAGTGTTTGGGACAGTGAGCAGCTGGAGTTGGAGGACGGAGGCTACGAGATGAGGTTTATAAGTGAATGAGGTTGGAAAGTTTGAAGGTGCAAGGCCATGAAGGGCCTTGTAGGTAAGATGCAGGACCTTATAATGTATGCAGACCTTGTGTGCAGAGTGGGAGTAATGTGTTCCCAGGGTTTGGTTCGTGTAAGGACTCTGGCAGCAGAGTCACCCCTAACGGGATTCCTTTGCAGTAGTTCAGATGTGATTAGACATTACAAAAGCATGTATCAGGGTCTCAGCAACGGGGTCTGTGCGGGATGGGCCGAGCCTGGAGAAAGACAAAAAAGGCAGACTTGATGATATACTTGATGTGTGGCTCAAAGGAGAGAGTTGGATTCAAGACTACTCCAAGATTATAGACAGAGGATGGGCAGATGGAACAGCCATCATTAGATAACACTAGAGGATGGGCAGATGGAACAGCCATCATTAGATAACACTAGAGGATGGGCAGATGGAACAGCCATCATTAGATAACACTAGAGGATGGGCAGATGGAACAGCCATCATTAGATAACACTAGAGGATGGGCAGATGGAACAGCCATCATTAGATAACACTAGAGGATGGGCAGATGGAACAGCCATCATTAGATAACACTAGAGGATGGGCAGATGGAACAGCCAGATTGCAGAAGGTCACCAACTTTCTTTAGAAGAGCATTAGGAGCCACCACCATGACCTGTGTTATATTACTATAGAGTTTGAGTAAATGAATAGTCATCCTGTTTTTGATGTCTTGATGACAGCTGATCAGAGTTAAGGGGGTAGGTGTGAGTTGAGTTTGGTGCTGATATAAATCTGAGTGTCATCTGCCTAGGAATGGAAATGAAGACCACATTGTTGAATGATCTGTCCGAGGGTAACATGTAGACAGTAAAAAGAAGGGGCCCAAGCACCGAACCCTGAGGCACGCGTTGGTTGATAGGGGCTAGTTGGAACTTTGAGCCACCATATGACACAATCTTCTTCCTATCAGCTAGATATGATCGGAACCAGTCAAGTGCCAAACCACATACACCCAACATTGTTTCCATGCGGCTGAGAAGCATAGTGGGGCATACAGTGGCAGCAGAGAGGTCCAGGAAGATGAGAATATTGAGATGTTGATAGTCGGCAGCAATGAGAAGGTCATTGATCACTTTGACAAGGGCAATTTCTGTGCAATGCTTTGCTCAAACCCTGATTGTAGAGGTTCATACAGGCCATGGTAGGTCATATGACACTGACGTTGAGAGTCAACAAAAAGAAAATTATAAATGGGCCTGTAGTTATTAAAGCAATCTGGGTCTTGCCTTTGCTTCTTGAGTGCAGGTGTGACTGCAGCTATTTTGAGTGAGGGAGGATCAACACCAGACCGCAAGGAACTTTAAATGGTAAATGCTGCGCTTTTATATAGCGCTTTTATCCAAAGCGCTTTACAGATCCTGCGTCACATTCACCCATTCACACACTGACGACCGCGTCTACCATGCAAGGCGACTGCAGGCTCGCCAGGAGCAGCTGGGGTTAGGTGTCTTGCTCATGGGCACCTCGACAATTTCCCAGGAGGAACCGGGGATCGAACCACCAACCTTCTGATTGATAGACAACCGACTCAACCCACTGAGCCACTCCCCCATGGAAAGGGGAATCTCCTCAACCACCACCAATGTGCAGCATCCACCTGGATGATGCGACGGCAGCCATATTGCGCCAGAACGCGCACCACACACCAGCTTACTGGTGGAGAGGAGACGGTGATGAAGCCAATTAGTATATATATGGGGATGATCAAATTTGGCCAGGATGTATAGTATAGTTAGCCACATCCTGAGTCAGAGACAGTGACAGTGTGGAGGATAACTGAAGTTGTATAGTTAGCCACATCCTGAGTCAGAGACAGTGTGGAGGAGAACTGGAGTTGTATAGTTAGCCACATCCTGAGTCAGAGACAGTGTGGAGGAGAACTGGAGTTGTATAGTTAATCAGATCCTGAGCCAGAGACAGTGTGGAGGAGAACTGGAGTTGTATAGTTAATCAGATCCTGAGCCAGAGACAGTGTGGAGGAGAACTGGAGTTGTATAGTTAATCAGATCCTAAGCCATAGACAGTGTGGAGGATAACTGGAGTTGTTGGTAGACGGACTCAATCTTGGACTGAAAAAACTCCTGAAATAAATCACAATGTTGTACTGAGCCAGTATCAGGGGAGGAATCCGGGGGCCGAAGAAACCGGTTGATAGTGGAGAAGAGAGCTCTCTGGTTTCCTTTGCTGGTATTGATGAGGTTGGAGTAGTAGAATGATTTTTCCTTTACATTTTTGAGCATCCTTATATTTGTGCACATGCTCTCTGTAAGACTCCAGGTGACCTAAGAGACCAGATCTGTTATTAAGCCTCTCCAGTTGACGGCCAGAGGACTTCAACATACGCAGCCCAGGGAGCAGATGTAGCAAAGGAGATACACTTGGTTTTCAGAGGTGCGTCAAGGCTAGAAGAGAGGAGTGTGTTGTAATGAAACACCAAGTCCTCAGCAGAGAACCAGGTTCTTGTTTGTTCAAAGCATGTTTCCTAAAGCAGATGTGCTGACGGACTTAATGTCTGTTGTTCCTGTATGTAATGGACGTTGCTTAGTTAGGGGTACATCTACATTCCACGGGATGTCAAGATGTTCAGAAATGGCAAATCTGAGCCATTGCACATTTGAGCGGAAAAAACCTGTCAGGTACACCAGATCCAGAACGCGGCCTTTGTTATTTGTAGAAAACGGTATATGATGTGTGGAATTAGAACAGTTCATAAGGGATAAGATCTCTGTAGCAACGGTACAAACGAGTCATGGATGTATACAACAACTGTTTATACAACAACTGTGTGCATGGGATGTTTTTTTCCAGTACTGTAAATTGAAAGTTGGATATGACTTCTCAAATTGTAAAAAAAGGTTCGAGCAACGTTGGCCAATTACAGTATAGTATCTCGTCCAACAGAAGAGATATAGGAGCTTTTAATGATAACGTTTTTCTTCAGTGGTTTGGCACATATGGTGGATGACATTGTTCTGATATCCAGGTCACATACCTCATGTTATTGTTAGCCCTCACTTTCATTATCTCCCATTGGTTTCAATCCATCTATCTACAGAACACTGTCTGCTGTTCACTTATTGCATGGACCACAAAACGTTTATTACCGTTTTCAGAGCTCGAATTGGCCCTCAGAAATAGTATTACATTTATTTTATTATTAATTTTCTCTGAAAATCTGAGAATCAATCAGGGTTCATACACCTTTTCCAAGGTCAAATTCAAGCACTTTTCAAGCACTTTCAAGGTATTTTTTAAAGCTTTTTCCAGCACCTTACATCACCGTGAATTACATACCCATACATAGTCAAATTGAATATCTATTGTTTATATCACATTAGCGATAAACGCCATAAACAGACAAAATTGACTTTTGAAATAGCAGAAGGATCAGATATTTGAATACAAAATAAATGCAAACATTCGTCTTTGAGGTAGTCAATCAGATTCACCTCTTCGAACCTTTTAACAATATTGTGCAAATCAAAACAACTTGAGTTGTCAAACACAGAAATAACAACACAAAATAGTGCTAAAGTATGCGATTAGGCAATTACAGATTAGGCCAAAAGTTTCACTTTATGTATATGGTATACCTCAAGTGCATATTTAACTTAATTTAATCAACTCAACAAGATATTTTAATGTAAACAAAATCAACTTAAAATTGACTTTGGTGGACTTTATCCTGCAAAAATAAATAAAAATTAATACGCCCAAACACAAAATACTGCAAAACTAAACAAATCAACTTACTCTGTTAAATAAAACAAAAAACTGCACTAAACACCGAACAATGCACGTTTAGGCCAAATAATACATTAAGGACCTATTAAGGAGTGTCTTTGAGCTCCTTCAGCTTGTCATTTAGCCATTTTTCTACAGCCTCCAGACTTTTTTGTTTTTCTTTTGCAGCTCTGCGAAGACCATTTGATTTTGAGATGAAGATGAGTTTTCCAACCGATTCAGCTTTCTCTGCATTACTATCTGCAGATTTCAGAAGGACCCTTATGTCCTCATCCATTCTCTTTTTGGCCTTGATCTCAGCTATCTTCTCCATTACTCCCTTTCTCTTCTGAGCAGTCTCCTCATCTTTTTTTCTACGTTTTTGGTCATCCATATATTAATATTAGATAATTGTGGTATTTCTGCCAGGCAGCAGCTGCAGAGAGGAGTAGTTCCTTCGTGTAGACTATGTTGAGCAGCCCTCCAATATGGTTCACATGGTCATGAATGATCCGCTGAGCAATAAGAATGCTCTTTCTGGTTCTCCACCATCACCTCTTTGTTAACAGAAAACCCTCTCTCGACAGAGGCTTGACCATGGGGGAGGAACACAGGAATAGACTGGCAGATCGCAGTCGCACATGCATAAGCGAGCGCAGCAGGTTTCATTTTACGATCTCCAACATTTTTTTCTCCATTTAAATAACGAGCTATTCATGCAGATTAGATATTTGTTGTGAAATAAATACAGTTACAATTTCAAGCATTTTCAAGCACTTTATCCAACATTTAAGCACTTTTCAAACCTTGAAAACACATCATCAAAATTCAAGCACTTTCAAGGATTTAAAGCACCCGTAGGAACCCTGTCAATACCAGGAAGTCTGTCCACTTTCTGTAAATAAAAATATGTGGTAGAATAGTTGAATTTGCAAAGTTTGCATTTTTATTCAATTATGTTTTTGTTCACAATGATTTTTATTTACCCAGCACAAAGTGACTGCCTAGCAGAATAGACACAGACGGCATTGTAGAAAGGTATAACTAAACGAAGAGGACCAGTTGTTTTTTTTTGTACATCACAACTGTGGTGCAGCGTTGTTGCAGAATCTGAAAGAAATGTCGTCGAACATTTTCTGAGGAAGTGCTGAGGCTGTGCTTTCTGAAGCGTTGAATGTCTCAGAAAATGGACGAGGTAATCCTGGCACAACAGACAGGCAGAAAGGGAAATGTAAATCCCCTTGTAAAACGGCATCTTGAAAATGTTTTTTATGTAATATAGATTGAAGAAAAGTAAAACCTCTCCATTGTACACAGAATTACTTTCTCCTTTTCCGCTCCTGTGTGATAGCATTGATCTGTATTTGATGATGGGTGATATGATGGGTGACAGCTACTACTGAGATTTTTATTTCTAGTACGAGAATGGTTTAAAAAAGAGGAAAGGGTAGATGATTGAAATATGTATTCAATGTTTTATTTTTGGACTTCCTTTTAACATTTTAACGTTCTAGAACAGAAAGAAAATAGTGTTAATTTATGCAGTAAAATTCCGAGAAGTAAAATGGTAATGTCAGAATACACTGGCACATACCCAGCTAATCAATTTAGACAGGGAAAAAAACACATTAAGGGCAATTAGCTGCCACACATCTGGACAGCCCCATCCTGGGCTATAGTGTCGATATTGACAAAGGCACAAGGATTAGAGCTGTGAAGTGTGAGGTTGCCCGATAGTTACAGTCAATTTGACGCCACAGACGCATGGGCAGTCCAAAGAGGAATGGCTTTAATGGACACAAGAAAATAAGCGGGGGCGGAAAGATGAACAGTTATAATTATCCTCCCTCTTGCAGTCCGTGATTGTTGCCCTTGGGTCATCAATGTTCAATGATTATTCTTGTTGTGGTGACAAGCTACCTGCAGGGCTGGCTGCTGGTGTTGAGATTTTTCTAGCAAACAGGTAAACCTTTGTGACCTGTAGAGTATTCTTGTTACCACAATATAATCTCACTAACAAACGAGAATTAAGAAAGGAGTATGTCCTGGAGTATGTCTTACACAAATGTGATATTTCTGTTTTGTAACTGTTCAATAAGTTGGGCCAAAGTCTCTAAACATCAGAATTTGACGATTCAGTAAAAGGTTTTGTGGCGATTGATGAGAAGAAAAACAGAACAAATGAAATCAAGAATAACTCAGTAACGTTACAAAATATGGGCAACGTGATGGGATGGAAAGTGCTTTCCAGATGCACTGTATACAATGTTTGTTGTGAACCATACACACATATGCCAAAACAAACATAAGGTGTTGCATGGTAAACTGCCATTAGTGTGAACATACTCCTCAATTATATTAATGATGTAACAGGACCTGTAAAAGATGTTTTCTATAAACTAATTGACCATGAATTCTTAAACACCATTGCCACTACTATTGTGTACTGGAGTTACTCTGAGTAAACTGAACCTGCTGTTGGCTAAGCATCTTGAATCAATAAAATGTTCAGTTTTATGTATGGTTATTGTAAGTTTTTTTTATTCCCCCTCAAAGATTTCTGTTTTTCAATTGAATTGTTCACGTTATAGGTCACATTAAAGCTGGACAAAATTCGGACATGATTTTGTCAAATTTTTTCACATCGCAAAAACCTGGCTTTTTTACAGGGGTGTGTAGACTTTTTCATCCACTATATGTGTATTTGATAAGAAAGCCAAGTGTGGATGGAAACATTAAACATCTTATATATAGACACAGATCAATTCCTACTGGGAACCAGACAAATGACTGTGACCAGACCGCGGGCAGATTTAAGAAAAAGTATC